AATAATAAAGAAATGAAGGAAGGAAGGGGGAAAAAGAACCGTAGAAAAGAAAGAAACAAATTCATAAGTTTTACATTTTATATATATTTTTTTAAATAATTTTTCAAAACAAATTATTAATATGATTTATAATATATATATATATATATAAATATATAGGTATATAATAAATAAATAATGTAAAGGTATATTAAAATTTTTTCAATAAATTTATTATATTTTAAATGAAAAAATTTTTAAAAAATTATTTAATATTATTACCTTTTTTTTATTACCTTTATACCTTAAAAAACTGTAATAGACGAAGACAACTAATGAATAATAAATTATAAATGGAAATATAAAAAAATATGTTTATTTTCAGAGAAAATTTTTTGTTTTTTTTTTCGGATTTTTATTTTCAAATTTAAGTCACCAAATTTTTTTTTAAAATATAATCTTTATCCTATCCTATAATAATAAAATAAAATAATAAATTTTAATTAAGTATTTAAAAAATGCCCCCCAAACAGAAATTTTACACAATAATTCGACGGAGAATCATGGAGGAGAAATAGAGGCAAAAAAAAAGAAAAAAAAAGAAGTCATAAAATTAATTTAAAAAATCTTTCTATAAATTGAAATTGTTTGTCTAGATTTATTTTTTTGGGAATAAAAAGATTTAAATATTCTGACAAAAGATCATTCATTTTTAATCAAGATCGTATTCCAATAAGTGGCAAAAATTACATAGCTCCTCACATTCGAAATGGACGCGAAATAAATTTATAATATATAAATGAATGCATTTTCTACTCATTATTCCTGCCATTCCTATTTGTTGATTCTGGCATATTTATCTTTACAAGGTAAAAAAAAAAATTGTTATGTATCTTAAAAACTGAGGTAATTTTATCTAATTTCTATCCTTGTTAACAGGGCCCTTTTACGCCTATGCTTACGCAGCTCCAATTTGTTCAAAATTTAGGCTGATACAGTATTTTATTACCAAAAAAAAGAAATTATTATTACGCCACCCTAAAGATGTTTTTAAAATAATTAAGCAGTATTAATGACGAAATTGATTATTATTTTTACCTTATAACCCATTCTAAATAAATCCATTTAAATGGAAATTGTGATTCCGAATCATCCTAATAAATAGAATTGGCTGGACTCGGACAGACGTTTTATCAAACTAAGATTGAGGTCGATGCTAAAAATTCTAATTCAGGCGGTATCTAGAACCCAGGTCTAGACACAAATTTTTAACTAATCAAATTTATTTTTAAATCCCTCCTCTCCACTGGATTAGATCGCACTAAGAACCTATTGCCCCAAAAATAATAATTTGGATCGGGCTTGAATCTATTTGCAATGCAAAGTAAGAGTCAGGATTGTAAGACTTGGATCTTTCAGATAATTTCAAGATTCAGATTGCTCTGAGATCCGGACTATTATTAGACAACCCATCCACTCATATAGTTTTGATAATAAATGTTCTACATTTTTCTAATTTCGATTATTTTTGGTTTCGAGCAATGGCGTATGTCAGGATTTATCAGGAAGTGTAAAAACATAAATATCTGTAGGAACGGGTCTATATTTTTACTGATTATGTTACCACTTGCAGGCCTGGGAACTCATGAGTGGCGCAAGCTCTCATAAAAATTTTGGTATTATTTATTGCCAATTTTAGATAGAATTACCCATTTTTTTGTTATCTTTTACTAAACCACTGATAAAAGGTCTGAAAAGTTCGCTTATTAAGGCCGTTCATGATTTTTTACTCAAGTTCCGACACCTTATCCGTTATTTATATTTTTGTTCGGCCAGCGGGTCTTTTAATTATTAGACGAATTTTACGGCCAGCACATTGTTGATGTCTCTATCTAAATCTAATTTTTCCCAAAATCCAGTAAGGCTCATATCTATCCTCTATGGCTATCTATTATCTATAAATACCCATTTTATAAATAATTTGTGTATTGATATCTGTATTGTGCATTATTGCAAATGACTTTAATAATATATAGTGAATTTACTATTCTTTTTCTCACAAATTTAGTATTTTTATTTAGACAGCCCATAAAATATAAAGAAATAAGCCTATTAGTAACAAAAGTTTTAGAAATTGTGACTGCTACACATATAATTCGCCTTATTACTAAACAACCTGTTGCTTAGTCGGCTATATAGCCTTGACTAAACAGCACAAAAAGTAAGTGATAAAAAAAAAGAAGAAAAGAAAAACTAAACAAAAGATGAAAAAAAAAAGAAAAAAAGAGTAAAAATATAAAAAAATACGATCCTGGATTTTGCTAAATGGGTGAAACGCTATTAGTGCCAGTTTTTATGCCATGAATTTTATTGGATATCTTTACGTCCACTTATTGCAGGTCTTTGGCCTTATTATATTTTTATAAAATTAATTATAGCGTCGTTATTTTAAAAAGTTGGCAACTTTTACTAATAATTTCCTTCGAATTCTTGTTTTTAGTGATATATAGTAGAGACCTGCACCTGCAGGCCCGACCTGGCCCTGGTAAACGGGGCGGACCGTATATTTTATAACCAAATATTTTAAATCGGCATTATTATAGCTATAAAAATTAAAAATAAATAGGATATATTTAATCCGGGCCGAGCCCTGCAAATGGTACCTCTGCCTGCAGGTCTCTGATATATTGTATATACATGTATTCTGGAAAAGGGGGGAGGGGTAAGGAACGTGTAAAGGGAATTTTTTTTTAGCATAAAATGATATTTACGAGAACAGGTAAATTTGCGATGGGGGAATCCCCCCTCCCCACTTGGTCACGATATTGAGTTTGATATCACCAAATAATAAAGCCGCAAAATGATTTCGTTTCAGACGATTTTTAAAAACGGCAAACTAAATATTTTAGCCAAAAAAATTATAAGCCCCTCAAGATTTTGTTAATAGATGAGCAATTGTTAATACATGTAACCCTGGCCTGAATTAGGGCCAGGTTGCAGATTTCTGCTATATTTTATAATGACTTTTACAATATAAGCCACCTCCCCCCCCCCCTTTGTGCCCATCTATTAAACAAAATATTAGATAAAATAATGAATTACCCGTTTTTAATAATCGGCTCAAAAACACTACAACCAAACACCTAAAAAAAACTAAAATAGGGTGTCCTATTTTAAAAGCTGTTTAGCTTTAGTCAAAAATCGGGACGTCGTAATAGTAATTTATTTTAAAATAGAACTAGTAAAGATAAAATATTTTTAGCTTAAAATTCAAAGAATATATCAAAATTTTAAAGCCCACATTAAAATTTTACAAGTCTATATTTTTTTTATGTTGAATTGTCAGACCTGCCCATTTCACTTTCGCTTGGGCTGGTGTCAGACTTCGCAGATCTCTAGTAGTTTGAAGTAATTTTGTAATTTTATTTCCCAAAGTTTAGCATCATTAACGCCATTCCATCGTTTAGTAAGAAAACATCTCGGTAAGCTAAACCTTTTCTTATTTTAACGAAACCTCCTTTATTATTTTTTTCAATAGGTACCCAACCACTTAATGTCTTATCTTTTATATAATTTTATGATCATATAAATTATATTTTTTAAAAAAAAGAAGCATAAAACCTTATTAAAATAAAAATTATAATACAGTTTTTTATTATAATATAAATATTATTTTTTTTTTTTACAAAAAATATCCAAAAATATCCAAAATTATTTCATAAATTTTTTTATTTTTATTTTAATAATTATCAACCCCCCTAGAGGATCTGAAAAAAAGTTTTTAATTTATGTGTGTCTTAAAAAAAAAATATATAATATTGGTAATATAAAGGTATATATTTGTGTCATTTTAAGAAAAAAATAATTAATTTTTTATTTTAAGGGATAGGCAATAATGAGTAAATGTGGAATTTTAGTTCTTAACATAAAAAGTCGCAATATGTTTTTATAATAAAAAAAATGGCACTCGAAACATCAAGGAGAGACAAAAGGGTGCTCAGAAATGGCGGAGTTTAATTTGAGCTAAAAAGGCTGATATTTTTTTAAGAAAATGGCGAAGGATTAAAAGAAGGTAGGCTGGGGCCCGTTGGACCTCCTTTTGTTTAGTTGTTAAAAAACCCAAATTCTGGTTGATTTTTAAAAAAACGGCTTGATTGTGATTATAACCAAAATAATGTTATGGAAGTCCTAGAGATTTTGTTCATAGATTGCAGAGAGGTATAAACATATCTTGAAGTTTAAATAGTGTTATTTTGGCTAAAATCTTAATCGGGCCGTTTTGAAAATTCGACCAAAATATCAACACTACTCGCCAAGTTTTGTATTATTGAAACAAGAATTTTCATGTATAGACTCATGAATTTTTTGGCGGGTTTGAGAATTAAGGATATTTATAAACTTAATTTATTTTGTTTCATATAAATTAATATTTAAAAAAAAAACTGGAAATAATATAAATTGGTGGTTTACAATAATACCCCGGAATAAATTGTAAGGCAAGTTCTTCTATCTTTACAAGAGTCATCCCATTTTAAGCTGATTTTAGGACATATTTAATCCTGTTTTTAAAATCTGATAATGTTTTTTTTTTAAAAAAACGACTAACTCAATATTTTAGGTTAAAAAATATTTTCTAAGCCTCGAGATTTTTTTCCGAATATATTTTTTTTATGAAGAAAGGTAGCTATTGGTGATTATAGCTTAAATTTCAATGTTCAAGATCTCACTTGAAAATCTCCTAAAGGAAGATGATCACGAAATATTTGAAAATTGATTTTTTATTGAAATATTATCAGTATAGTCCATTTATTCTGCAAGAAGCCTGAAAAAATAATAATTAATACTGCATGGTGTATATTATTTACCTATTTTTCCCTAAATTTCCCCTAATTATAAGTTTTTAAATTACATCCATACACTTGAACAAAAATAGCTTTAGTAAAAACTGATTATCTAGATTTTAATTAGATCAAGTAATATAGATTTGAATCAATAGATAATGAAGTCATCGCGTTAAATATATGAGATTTTCTACTGGACCGGGGAAGGGTAATTGTCATAAGTATTGGCAATGAATTTTCAATTTTTTTTTTTAAATTTAAAATTAATTTTTTGAAAAAAAAAGAGAAAAATTTTTTGACCATAACGTTAAATTTTAGAACCAATAGGAAGTTTTGGTTATGAATATTTATATTATTTTATTTTTTAAGGTGATTTTGGGTCTAGTATAAAATTTTACTACCGAAAATATTTAAAATGTTAAAAAACTGTTTTTTCTTAAAAAAAATATTTATTTATCATAATGGGAACTTAATCTTATTTTCCTTATAAAATCATTTTTCACTTATTTGCATCGAATAAATATAACTCTTTTTTTTCTTCTCATTAATATTAAAAGGCCTTTTAAGATGTCAAAATGTATTGATCAATGCCGAATCGTCATCGCTCCCGCTGGCGGATGATCTAAATTCGCATATAAGAGACTTGTATTCCAAGGCCATCCAAGACATCAAATGCAATTTGGACGAGATAAAATGTGCCTCCCAAGAAAAATGTATCCTTATAAGTAACTTCCAGGACGGAGTTAAAGACTGCGACGATGGCTCTGACGAAAGTTTATACACATGAAACATGATATTTCACTATTTAAGTGGTGTGCACCAAAGATATTTTCTTTTTACTTGTCATTTATAGCTCGACAAGCTATTCATGGCCGATCGGCGAGAATCAGTTTTTACCCATAAATGAGCCGATTTTTTTATAATCGACTAACTCAATATTTAAGCCAGAAAAATATTCCCCAAGCCTTGAGATTTCGCTTAATTGATGATACAAACCCTACCACCTATGAGTGTAAATCTCTCAGGCTTGTGTTAGATTTTTCTGTATAAAATAATTGAGTTAGCCGTTTTTAAAAATTGGCTCAAATCGGGCCGTTTAACAACACTACCCGTAAACTATCATAGCTAACAGGATTAACTATACTGGTCACAGAATGGCTTAAACCGATTTTAAATGTTCGATTTTAACCTTAATATCACTTATCGAGAGCTCGTGTCATTATTTATTATATATTATTTTTATGATTATAAAGAAATGAAGGGGAGAGAAAAATAAAATGAAAAGAAAGAAAGTTTATAAATTTAAGAAAACAATAACGGGTGAGTAATAATAATATAATATTTTAATTTTTTTTTTACAAATTAGAAATTTAATTCAATTCAAATTAAAAAAAAATTAAATTTTAAATTATTTTATTTCGTTTATTTTATTATTTTTCCTATTATGCGTTTCATTATCAAATATTTGTATACCTGCCCGGTGTTGGTCCTATTGAAAAAAAAATATATATATTGTAATAGAAAACTCAATTTGGTAATTGATACATGCTATAACTTGCTAAATATAATAAAGGAAGAAAATATATATCCCTTACCATTAGTAAAAAAATGAAAATAAACTTCTTGAATCGTTATTTTAAGGTTTTTAAATATTAAAATCATAAATATGTTATTTATAACCTTTGTATGGAAGATAGTGTTGTTAAACGGCTAGATTTGAGCCGGGTTTTTAAAAGCAGCTACAATGTTTTATCCAGATAAATATTGCTAAAGCCTAAAAATTTTCGTCATAGGTGGCACAAAGATTTGGACATCTATTAGCGAAATCTTGAAGTATAGGCAGTATATTTTCTGGCTAGCTCAAATCGAGCCGTTTAAAAAACACTAATATAACACGAATCATTTTATACCAAAATTGCGTTAAAAAAAAATATGACATAATATATAATATGTATATATTTTTTTTTAAAAAATCATGCATTTGAATATGAATTACCAAATATATTTCAGAGGAAACCCGTTTTTCCAGGGCCGGGCCGGATATTTTAAAACCGAATATTTTAAATTGCCATTATTACCTATAAAAAATTAAAAATAAATAAAATATATTTTTAAAAAAAATCCGAGCGGGGTCTGAAAATTCGGGCCGATCCTGTAAATGAAAACTCCTGGCAGGCCGTGCAAAATGGTATACCTCTGCAGGTATTTGATATAGTTTAAAAGGACAGAATAAATTTAAAAAAAAAATTGATTTGCATTTATTTGAAATCATTCACTAATATAAATTCCAATTATATTTATCGGATATTATTCATCCATTATTCGATACACTCATCGGATATTGAAAACATAAATATTTGAATAATTTTTTTTTTTATTTTAAAAACAACCTTTAATCCCATTCATTACCGTTAGAGAAAAAAAAAGAAGTTAAAACAATTTATTTATAATCCCAGTGTTGTTAAACAGTTCGATTTGAGCCGATTTTAAAAAATGAACTCAATATTTTATCCACAAAAGTATTACCCAAGCCTGAAAATTTTGCCCGTATATGGCACAGAGGTTTAGACATCTATTAGTGAAATCTCAATGCTTAGACAATTTTAATTTAGCCATTTATAAAAATCGGTCCAAAATAAGCCGTTTAACAACACTACTAGGAACGTACCCAAGTCAAAGTTATGAAAAATATTATTTACTACCACACAATGATGATTACAAAATTGAAGAGGATTTTTTTTAAAGACATACAATTAAAAGTGGATATAGTTCATTTCTTACTTATATAAATTATTCTATTTCGCATACATTTAAAATTGAAATATTACAATCTGGTTCAAATTATTACTCGATTCTCATTTGAATATTGGGATTCACTAATTATTGTTAATTAAAAAGTTTTAATTAAATTGGCAAGGATTGGGTTTAGTTGTTTGTTTTTTAAACGACTCGATTTCAATTTTAGATTAAGATTTTAGCCCATATAAATATTATGCTTTCAAGATTTCGTTAATCAGATGTGTCAAACACTTTCTGCCACACATGAGTCAGGTCAGCATAACATTTTTTTTGGTTAAAATCATTGGGTTAGCCGTTTAACAACACTAATTGGGTATTTGCGCAAAATAATTGTAATTTTTTAAAAAATTGAAAGAAAAATTAATCTTACATTTATTTATACTAAAAAAAAAGGTAATAAAAAAATAATAAAACTAACAAAATTTTTGGTTTAAATTTTCGACACAGTATAATTATATAAAAATATATGAATAATAAATATTTTATATATTTTAAAAATATTGAAATAATAATAATACTTGATGTTTAATGTACCATTCGGCATGGTTAATAAAAAATTATATATATATATAAAAGGTTCATCATAATAATAATCATAGTTTACAAAACAAACAACCATGCTTCTCATGTATGGTTTATTTTTTTTTGGTTTTTATTTTACGAGATTTTAATTTTTCGCTAATTTTTGTGTTCCGACTTTTGACCAAATATTAAACGTTTTACTCCTTTTTTAGCTTTCATTATATAACTCCTATTACAAATGGAATTGTAGGAGATCAGATAATATCTAACAATTTTCAATATCTTATTTTTGTGACCATTAGATGCCAATTTGGTGTCATTAATTTCTTTTTTTCATTTATCCAAAATAATTTTGTGAATTATTAATTAAAAAAATTTAAATGATATAAAATATTTATAACCATCACTTTTAAGGTTTTGACACCTTAAATATGATAGAAAATGTTTATGGCTAAAATCGGTAGCGTTATCCGCGGGCAGGAGGGTATAAAAGCCCCATCTCCTAGAGCGAAAAGCGCTAGCGAGTCCATTTATTATTTTTTTTTCAGACGTGTAATAGATATGACACCAGACTGTCAAATTTTTTTTATGTGAATTGCGAACTATTCGTCACCTGATTGTCGGTTGTTAAATCTAAATGCCTTCTATTAAATTTTATATTTTATGATTGAGATAAATATCATTTAAAAAAAACTAAATAAAATCGATACAAAAATTATATATAAATGCATTAGTATTTAATGATTATTCGTAATATCTTATATACTATATAAAATATGTTCAAAATTCATTAATAAAATTGTCTCGACTCATTATTACGTGTACGCGAAATGTAGAAATTCTTTAATATTTCAAACTCAATTACTTTTTTTTTGCTTATTTAATTACGCTAGAGTTAGATCATCGAACCAAACACTAAGGTTGGAACTTGTTAAATAAGCAATCGACATTTTTTCTAACTTAAAAAGACATAGGAACACTTATTTTTTTTATTATAGGAAATTTATAAAAGGAAATATATACAATAAGCGATTTCTATTAGTTAAGTTAAACGGCTAACTCGATATTTTATTCAGAAAAAATATTACGTCCTGAGGATTTAAACTGGATTGATTCTGTCATACCCGAGCTATGGGCAGAAAAATAAATCTATGGGCGGTCCGGACAGCTAACGAAATTAATTACTAAATAAAAACCCCTCAATTTACCCATCACTTAACTTTAAAACAAAAATCCCGAAAGATATATGAAAAATTATAAATTTTCTTTAAAAAAAAAGGACTAATCAAAACCATAATTAAATTCTTCTCGTGGTGGTGGTTGTCCGAACTGGGTGTTATGTAAATATTTTTTTTCATTTTTTACTTGTCTAAATTCTTGTGATTTATTAATGATATTACGATAAGTATTTTTTTTTACTTATGTGATATATATGTATGTTATGATAATATAGGTCGAAAGTATTTCTTACTTATAGAATGTGATATATATTATAAATATTTGACGAAAAGGCAATATTTTTGGCAATATTTTTTTTAAGCCAAAAAAAAAAGAAGAAGAAATCACCTATTAAATTGTATTATTAAAAAGTTCATAAATTAAAAAATTATCGTTAAGAAATTATTTTCAAACAATTTTTATCAATTAATTATTATTATTAAACATAATTTATTTTTAGCGATATTGACATATATTATCATTTATACTAAATTGTATATAGACAGATATATGTATATGGCAAATAAAAACAAACAAAAAAAATTATTAATTTTACATTCTGGTACAGAATAATGTTAAACGGCCCCTTTTTAGCCGGTTTTTAAAAAAGGGCTAACTCAATATTTTATCTAGATAAATATTATTCAAGCCTTCAGATTTTGCTCAAAGATGGCCCAAAGGTATTAGCTAAAATATAGAGATAGCCGTTTTTTAAAAAAAACCGGCTCAAAAGCCCTTTAACAACATTACTGATACAGTAAAAATGGGAACATTTGAAGGGGGAAATAAGTTGTTAATTTAGTCTAACAGTTAAGGCAAGAAGTGTTTAAAATTTTCAAGATCGAATGGTCCTGGTTAGTTGATCAATTCCAATAAGGGCTTAGCCGAACATTAAAAACCTATAGTAAAATTGCCGTAAACCTCTAAGTTGGGTCTTCAATCATAAAGATCGGGATTGGCAAATTTTTTATAGTTGGTAAGATAGGAGATTTAACAACACTAGAAGGGAAGCGGATTCTAAAAAAAGGTACACAACTATAGACATCGGCGTATCCAGGATATTACTAAGGGGATAAGGAAGAGAGGGCATTAATTAGGGGTTTCTCTCATAAATTATATTCGAGATCTATCCCACAAATATTCTTTATAGTGATATATTAATTTTTGAGTGACAGGGGGGGGGGGTGAAATTTTTTTATTGCGAGAACAGGCAAAATTACAGTGAGCACCCCCC